TTTCCCACCCCTTTAACCATTCATGATGCCCCTTGATACTGTGGCTCTCTTCACAGAATGGATACACAGGCTTTAATTGATGTCTCTTTCTTCTTTTCCTAAGGGTCTTGTAAGTGTAAGCGGAAAAAGGCACAATTCCAGCTAATTGTGAAAAAAAGGCTGAGAGGAGTATACGAGACTGCAAATAACAATTACTAGGAAACTCCCAGTGGGTGAGAAGCTTGGCTAAGCATTTACTCCAAAGGACTTGAGATGTATGAATTTGGACAGATTAAATAGCCTGCTGATTCTGACCTAAATAAGTGACCCAGGACATATGGTTAAGAAAAAAAAAATCTAAGCTAGAAATTGGGCCAGAGCCATAAACTGCTCTGAGTGAATTAAATTCCTTCTCTAAATGCTTTCTCTCCTTTACTTCTTCCCCGGCACCTCCCTCCCGGTCCTTCTTCAATACATAGCCCTTTAACCAAACTGTTAAGAAAAGAAGCATTTCTTTAAAGGGAGTCTGAGGTAGAGTTTCACAAGTAGTCAATACAATATGAAAAATGAGACACTTTTGAACGTGTCAAGTTAGGTGCTAACATTAAACATACATAAGGGTACATATATGTATGTATATGTGTGTGCGTGTGTGTATAAATTTTTTTTTGGAGGAGGAGACAGTTGGGCTTAAGTGACTTGCCCAGGGTCACACAACTCGTCTGAAGCCAGACTTGAACTGAAGTCCTCCAGACTCCAGGACTGGCGTTCTATCCATTGCACCACCTAGCTGCTCTGCTAACATTAAGTATTATTATTTCTAGTTCACTGTATTCCTTAGGATCAAGAACTAGAAGGAACCTTAGAGATCATCTAGTCCAGCATGGGGAACCAGCCGCCTCAAGACCACATGTGGCCCTCTAGGTCCTCGAGTGTGGCCCTTTGACCGAATCCAAATTTTACTGAACAAATCGCCTTAATAAAAGGATTTTTTTTTTCTGTAAAACCTGGACATTGATGGTTTATGGTTTCTCCAAATGTAGCAGGAAGGTAAGAATGTTCTTTAAAAAATCAGACTAAACCTAGGATTATTCAAGGGCTGATTTTTTGGTTGACATGTTATCCAGGATCTTGGCTTCACTGTGAGTTCTCCTTTTCCCGATTCTTTTTGGGTCATGGCCCAGTTCCTTAGCGCACCCTCCTCCCCCAGACTGATTGTTTCATTCAGTTGTATTCACATCCTTAGTGATTAGTACAGCGCCTGGAACATAGGAGATGATTAGTAAATGCTTGTTGGCTGATGGTGGGAAGAGAAAGTCAGGTCAGTGTTAAGTGCTTACTATGTGCAAATACCCAGGATACAAAGGGATGCAAGGGGGTACATAGGTAGTCCCTGCTCTCTCAAGTAGCTCACAGTCCAATGGGGGAGACAACATGAACATATCTATAAACAAACAAGATACAGATATGTAAATACACACGCACCACATATAAAAACATGCATACATACATGCACACATCATATACACACATACCATATACATACCATGTACACACATACCATACATACACATATATACATATATATACATACATACACATATATATTATATATGTGTATGTATATATATATATATATATATATATATATATATATATATATATATATATATATATATATAAATTTGAGAGACTCAAACACCAGCATTGTAGGGGATTTAGAAAGGGTTTCTTGTAGAAAATGAGATTTTAGATGAGACTTAAAGGAAGGCAGAGAAGCTAAGAGGAAGAGATGAGGAGAGATAAAATTCCAGACTTGGGGGACAGCCAGTGAAAATACCTGGAGCTGTGGGATGGGGTGTCATGGGAAAAAGCAAGGAGTCCAATGTCACTGCATTGGAGTATATAGAAGGGTGTGGGGTATAAGAAGGAGTAAAGAGAGAGGGAGAGCAGGTCATAAAGGGCTTTGGAAAGCCAGAAAATTTTCTGTTTGATCCTGGCAGTGATAGAGAGCCACCTGAGTTCACTGAATGGAGAGAGAGTGTCAGACCTCCACTTTAAGATCTATTTGGTAGCTGAGTGGAGGATGGACCAGAATGGGGAGAAAGTTGAGGCAGGAAGACCAATCAGCATGTTATTGCAATAGTTCAGGCATGTCCTGATGAGGTCTTGCACAAGGGTGATGGCAGTGTCAGAGGAGAGAAGGAGGCACACATGAGAGAAATGTTATGAAAAGAAAACCTATAGCACTTGGCAACAGATTGGATATGAGTGAAGAGTGAAGAGTCAAGAGTCAAGAATGCCATGTAGGTTTCCAGCTTGGGTGACTGGGATGATTCTGATACTCTCTTATCATACTAATAGGAAAGTTAGGGAGAAGGCAGCTGGTGGGTGGGTCGGTGGGGGGCAGATGAGTTCAATTTTTAAGATGTCTGCAAACCATCCAGTTCAAGATATTGAAAAAGCAGTTGGAGATGCGAGGCTGGATGTTAGAAGAGAGGTGAAGCCCAGATAAGTAGAGTGGAGAATCATCGGCAGAAAGCTGATAATTGAATCCATGGGAAGTGATGAAATTACCAAGTGAAATAGTATAGAGGCAGATGAGAAGAGAGCCTCAGTCACAATTCTGAGGGGTACTCAGTGTTAGTGAACATGACGTGGATAAAGATCCAGCAAAGGACTCGGAGGAGTAGTCTGACAAATAGGAGCAGAGCCAGGAGAAAGAAGTGTTATGAAAACCTCAAGAGAAGAGAGAACATCGAGAACATGGCGCTCAGTAATGTCAAGGACTGCAGAGAAGTCATGAAGGATAAAGACTGAGAGAAAAGTCATTAGATTTTGTGATGAAGAAATCATCGTTAACTTTGGAAAGAGCACTTTCAGTTGAAGGATGAATTCAGAAGTCATCGTTCAGTTAAGAAAAGAATAAGAGTTGAGTTAAGAAGAGAATGAAAGGAAAGGAAGTGGAAGGGCTAATTGTAGACAATCTTCTCAGGGAGTTTAGCCGTATAAGGAGAAGAGGTACAGGACTATAACTAGCAGGGATGGATGGATCAAGGGAGGGTTTTTTGAGGACAGAGGAGACACGGCATGTTTATAGGAAGTAGGAAAGCAGCTAGTAGACAGGGAAAGATTGAAGATTAGTGAGAGAGTGTAGGGAATGATAGGGCAATATGCTGGAGAAGAGTGGATGGAATGTGATTATTTGTGCATGTAGAGGATTTGCCTTGGTAAGGGAAGGGGCTGCCTCTTCATAGGAGACAGGTTAAGGAGGAGATGGTGGCAGAAAACACCTGAGTGATGCAAAATGAGGAGTAGGGACAAAGGAAGATAAACCCAGACCAATCAAGTCCACTCTCTGTTGTTAGTTGTAGGAAAAGGTTTTGGTAGCAGAAGATTATTACCAAATAACTTTCTAGTGTTATCTTTGGATTTCAGATAGTCATACCCACCAGCCAAAGAGTAATATTCATTTACCAATTAACACATGGGATGATCCTGGTTACTTATCAGATTATGAAATAGTATTTGTTACCTATTTCTTTTTGACAAGAGGATATTCTCTCATGAGGCGAATGTTCTCCTTGGAGGCTATGATGGTATAGTGAAATTAACAATGGATTTGATTTTGCCTTTAAAGAACCTGGATTTGAGTCCCACATTTGTTGCCTAGTTCTTGATCTTGAGTAAGTCATTTCTGTTCTTTGAGCCTCAGTTTCCTCATCTATAAAATGGGGATAATAATATTTGCAACACTTACCTCGTGGGGTTGTTTTTTATGTATGCCAGGGGGACTGATTCCCCAGTGAATGTACCAAACCCTAGAGGGTGGCATAGAGACCTAGAAGGGGGTGTCACCATCACTCCAGGGGAAGGGAGTGATGGTCCATGGGGATCATTTCCTCATCACTCTCTGATAGCACTTTCGTCATCTCCCGCCACCTCCAGGAAATAAGGAAAGGGGTGCTGCCAGCCAAAATATTCCCCCCTTTCCAATCTTATCCCTCCTTTTTCTCCTCCAATGTTCTTCTTTGATGGGGAAGGGGGGGAATGAGGCTGATTATTGCACTCATCCATCCATCGTCCTTACCTTGCTTTCATTTGTATATGGCATAAGCAACAAATAGCCTCTTCATCCAATTCCTTGCTCCCAATCTCAAAGTAATGGCTTTGACTAGCAAAAATATGCTTTAAACTTCAAAAGTCCTTTGTGAATGTAAGCTACCAATGTCCAATCCAATAAACATTTTAAAATTATGTACTGGAGATAAAGGCAAAATGAAAATTGGTCCCTGACTCCAAGGAGTTTATACTCTACTGATAAAATACAACATGTAAACAGATAAGTATATACAAGATAAAATAAGGAGATGGGAAAGGGCGCTAACAAGGGAATCAGGAAATAAAAAAAATAATAATCATAACAAAAACAATAATAATGATAATGATAGCTGGTAGTTTTATAGTGCTCCAAAGTTTGCAAAGCTCTTTACAAACAAATATTTCATTTTATCCTCACAATAAATGCTATTATTGTCTCTACTTTAGAGATGAGCAAAATGAAGCAAAGAGGGGTTTAGTGACTCATCCAGGATCACATAGTTAATATGTGATTGTGGCTGGATTGGAACTTAGGTCTTCCTGACAAGGGGCCCAGTGCTTTAATCCATTGTGCTACCTAGCTGCCATATGAGGAATTCTTCCCATAGGAGATGATGACACATGAAATGAGCCTTGGAGGGAGTTAGGGATTCCAAGATATGGTGAGAGAGGTGGGAGTGAATTCCAGGCATGGTGGACAGCCATTGCAAAGGCACTGAGATAAAAGTTGGAGTGCCTAGTTAGAGAACAGCAAAGAAGTCAGTATGTAAGCAGCAAACTGGCAAAAAAGGTAGTGTTCACTCTCTTTTTATCCCCCTTGGAAAGGGCTCTCTGTTCCTATGTGACTAGTGATGGCAGAATCCAACCCTTCCCCCCCACCACAAAAAAACCAATAAAGAATCAAGATATTAAAAACATACCTGTCCTGCTGTGTCATAAAGTCCAAGCAAGTGCTGCTTGCCTCCCACCGTCACAGTAACTAAGGAAAAAGAGAAGAAAGAATTTGTAAAATTAAGGCACCAACCAGCAGACTAAGTTTCTCCATGCCAACATCTTCCCAGGCAAGCAAGATAGGTATATACTTTGCCCATGTATATTTTAAACTAAGCTGACAGTAGTAATCTCAAATGGAAGACATTCTTTAGCTACAAGTGAGAGCAGATGGTCCTAGGAAAGCCCAAACTTCTCAACCAAGGGAGGTGAATCTTACTGGTGTTGCCAACCATCTAGGGATGCTCAGGAGGCCACTGACTGACTGATCCTCACTAGTCACTAGAAATACCAGCCCTCCTGGAGGGAAAACCTGAAATCTTCATATTGATGACTTTTTTCCTTTTGTTTTGGTTTGTTTCATTAGCCTAGTTCAAGAAAACAAGAAACAGCTCAAATAACTCCTGTATGGGTTTTGGATCAGAGTACCTCTCAGCATGCTATCAGAGAAATAACCTTGATCATCCCTCCATGTCTTCTCTTATCTTTTTTGGGAAGACTATCTCTTTGAGAATATGGAGTTGTATAAGCAACATTCCTTGCTGTTACAAGTCTTTTTTGCTTTTTGTGAGGCTTTGAAATGATAATATACCCTTGAAAAAAAGAGCCCATCTGTGTATCTTCCAGCTTATAAGGAAAAGAAAATAATTAATGGAAAGGGGCTATTCCCCTCATATTAAGTGAAATACACTTATTAAATTATTCTATATTCAAGCATAGCCAATCTACTCCTGCTACCTTTAGCTCAAGGGTTTGGGGGGAGAAGAGGGTTGTCAGGACCGCTAGCTATGCTTTGTGCAGTATCAGCTTTCTCATGTTTAAAGGAGAGTGTAGTGTATCTAGTGACAGGTAGATGGGTTGATTTACCCAGCAGGGGGACCATCTTGCAAAGCAATTTTGTGCTTGGAAGTGCCTGGAGAGGGACTACAGAAAAAGCAGGCAAAATACACGTGCCTAGAAATAGAAAAAAAATCCCCTGGTTGAAATTTAATCCAGACTGAACAGATCAAAAGCAAATAAAATGCTTTCTTTCTCTTTCTCTGTTTCTTTCTTTCTTTCTTCCTTTCTTTCTTTCTTTCTTTCTTTCTTTCTTTCTTTCTTTCTTTCTTTCTTTCTTTCTTTCTTTCTTTCTTTCTTTCTTTCTTTCTTTCTTTCTTTCTTTCTTTCTTTCTTTCTTTCTTTCTTTTCCTTTACTTCACTTTTCTGGGCCTAGCCCAATTTCCTTATCTGTAAGATAAAGGGGTTTAGATCATAAGATCTAGAATCACAAAGGACCTCTGAAATCCAGTTTGCTCGTTTTACAGATCAGGAAACCAAGGAATGAGGGGTTAAGTGGTTTGCATCAGGTCACTAGAATTTAGGTCTTTTGGGAAACTTTCCACTATACCTCCTTTGCCTACCCAGACCAGATGAACTCGAAGATTTTGAAATGCTATAACCACATATTCTGCTAATTTAGTAAGCAATGAATGCAGACTTGATACACACACCAGACTGGTTTCCTGACAGCTAAAGCAGGTGACTTCAGAATGATAAATAGAATAACTCTCCTAGGGGCTGAACTTCTGACATCTGTTGGCTACATTTTCAAGTCTGGTGATTGTGATCATGGGGATTTAATGCAGACTTTGATGTTCTTTATTTTTTTGGTTCAGGGTGAGATGCAGAAACATACTTTTAATGGCCTTGTTTAAAAACAAAATAAGGGTTTGTTTAAAAGGGATGTCACTCTGCATTGGGAACTATGATTTTAATCCAATGGGATCCACACAGCCTCTGTCAGTTTTAATGTGTTTGAAGGAGTGACTAACCCAGCTCAGCCTGAAGTGCAAAGCTAACAAAGAGAAGGGGTCTCCATCCACCCCTCTGCCAGGGCCTATTAGGAATGGAAGTGAACGCGAGAGCACGAGGCTTTCTTCCTCTCATTTCAACCCCTCCCCTCCAGTTGTTCGTTAACTAATAATAACTAACATTTATGTAGCACTTACTATGTACCACATACTATCCTAAGCACTTGACAGTTATTATCTCCTTCAATTCTCCTGACAACCTTGGGGAGTCAGTGCTAATATTATCATCTCTGTTTTACAGATGAGGAAATGGAGGTAAGCAGAAATTAAGTGACTTGCCCAGGGTCACACAGCTAATAAGTGTCTGGGGCTGAATTTGAACTCAGGTCTTCCCGACTAGGCTCAGCGCTATCCATAGTGCCACCTACATCTATGTGTGCTGAAATAGCTCTTCTTTAATGTCCTATTTAGTGCCAATCTGAGGAATAAGAATAAAGGGAACGAAGCCAGAAGTAAGTGTGGGTTGAATTAAATCAAACCCAGAGAACATGATATGAAAACCTCTAATTTAAATTAGCCCTAGGTAGACCAGGAAGGGGGCAATTGCTCTTAAGTCTATTTAAATTTTCTTGAAAGTGTACCCTGGAGACCACCTGTGAACTGTCTCCAGCTCCACGTGTTACCTTGCTAGCTTACTGCTGGGCATTGGAAGTTCTATTAGAAAATCTGTTACCATCATAGCAACCATTTGGGTAACACTATCCAGCTCACAATTCAATTCAACAAACATTTGTTAAGTGCCTCCTTCAGTGCAAGGCACTGTTAAAATGTTGGGGATAAAGCAACTGAAGTGGAGTAAATAGTCCTTTATCCTCATCGAGGGACTTTCTCATTCTGGGTTCCTTGGGGAGCTGATGGAGAATCTCATCTGCCAGTAGTTCCTCAAGACTGGAGGTCAAATGAAATGAGCAGCTAAACTGATAGGAAAATCAATTTATTAGTGTGCTAAGGAAGATTGCTTGATAGTAGCAGTTTCAGTTTCTGAGGGTACAGATTTGGATTATTTGGGGATAAGGGAAAGGGAAGAGTAAAGGATGATGCTGGGGTTAAGAACCAGTGTGATTGAAAGGATGGCAGTACTGGTAGGTTAGGAGATTAGGAAGGGGCCTTTTTCAAGGAAATTGAACTGTTTAGAATGTATCCATGACAAAAGTGGAGGGGGGGTGTTGGAGAAAGGATGAATTTAGGGGGAAAGGTGATAAATTATCTAAGTGGAGATGGCTGAAGGTAATGTAAGAGTCTAATTCTGAAAGACCATGATTGAATATCTAGATATGAGAGTCATCTGTACAGAGTAGATAAATGAATTCGTGGGAATATATGAGACAACCAGAGAGAACAGAATACAAAGAAGACCCAGAATGGGGCCTTGATTAAGGGGCAGGAGATAGAAGGTGATCCAACAAAGGAAATTCAGGAGTGGATACGTGTACACAGACATGTACATCTAGACATATACATACAGGTGTGTGTGTGTGTGTGTGTGTGTGTGTGTGTGTGTGTGTGTGTACACTGTAGGGAAGGGGAGTGAAGGATGAAGAAGACTAAAAAAAAGGTCATTATAAAGGTGTTTGAGTAGTTTGAGGGAAAGAAGAGAAAAATCAAATTATAGGGAAATGAGAAGTGAGTTGATCATAGCGAGTGGGGATAGCCAAACTCTAAAAGTTTGGCTTTGGAGGGAAAGACTAATATATAACGATAGTTTAAGGAAATGCAAGGCTCAAATGAAAGATGCTTTGAGGATAGTGGAGAACTGGGTATGGTTATAGACAACTGGGAAGGGGTCATTAGATAGGAAGAGATGGAAAAAGAGAGAAAAAGAGAGGGAAGGCTTCATAAAACTAACTCCCAGGACAGAAGAGAATAGGATCAAGGGCACGTGTAGAGGAGTTAACCTTGTCAGGGAGATCTTGTAACCCCTTGTTCTGTAGTTACTTTTCAAATCCTCTACCATTTCTTCTTCCTTTATTGCTGGACTTTTGAACATAATTCCATTGGTATTTTAATAGTAATATTTTTCTCTCCTTTGGTGCTGTTGGCATGACTTCAATCTGCCACATTTTCAGATCAAGATGCTTCATAAAAAGCAGTGGCTTTAGTTCTAGATAAAAGCCATGCTCCATAGAGCCATTCATAATGTCTAAATAGAATGCTTTTTAGGGGTCCGTGGATAGATTTCAGGGGGTCTGTGAACTTGGATGGTAAAAAGATTACATCATTATTTTTACTAACCTCTAACTGAAATTAACTATTTCCTCCAATTATTTGAAAATGTTATTCTGGGAAGGGGTCCATAGACTTTAGCAGATTGTGAAAAGGGTCCATGACACAAAAAAGTTAAAGAACCATTGTAAGGCCATGGAAAAAATTGAGTATTAATACTGTTCTGTCACTTATTTGCCATGGGACCTTGGAATAATCACTTCATCTCTCTGAACCTCAGTTAGTTAAATGAGGCAATCCTGCCAGATGCACTCTCAGGTTCCTTCTAGTTTTGATGTTCTATGATTCCATGATTCTCCATAACAATCCCTTATATTTTCATAGAACTTCATTGGTTAGAGTGTTTTTACATACGTGATCTCTCATAATACCCCATGTGATGATGCACTATGATTAAATCCTTTTTAGAGAGAGGGAACGGAAACCCACCCTAGACATGAACATATTGTAGATTATGTGCTCTCCAAGCCTCCTCCAGCCTTAAATCATTCTTATCTCTAGTACGCAACTTGGCCTTACTACCAGAGGGCTAAGGCTATGACACTTACTTCTAGGCTTTGGAAGGGTCAGAATATTATAGAGGATGATGTGATGGATTCAGCATCATGAGATCCAAATTTGAATCCTACTTCACACCTTTATTAGCTGTGTTACCATGGGCAAGTCACTTAGTCTCCTGTGGCTCAGTTTCATTATCTGTAAAATGGGGATACTCATACTTGTACTATGTACCACACAGGGTAGTTGTGAGGAAAGTGCTTTACAAATCTTAGAAGGCTTTAAAATTGTGAATTTTTTTCACATTACAAGAAAGCTCAATGTTTTCATCTTTAGAGTCTACTTATGGTCCAAGGGCACAACAGCACCCCAAGCCTACTCAGGCAGAAGAAACAACATCAGATTAGAGTGAAGTGAA